TTCCTTGGTGATACTGTGTCTTAAAAGTATCAGTTAAAAAGCAGGCTTTTTAGAATATGCATCTGTTACCTTGGTATTCACACTGGCAATGTGGGCATCCTCAGCTGTGTGGAAGGGCGAGGAACGTTAACTTAAAACTGGTCCCCGCTTTTATTCCTCTTTGAAAATAAAACAGTCATGCAATACAGAACTACAGTCAGAATGAAGAAGCCAGACAGAGTGTATACTGAATTGGGCAGCTTCTGTCTCCTTACTTGTCAGTGTATTTTACCTGTCATGTTTGTTGTGGGTGACACTGGAATCCTAGATTTTTTAATTTATTTTTTATTTTGAGACGGAGTCTCAGACTCTGTTGCCAGGCTGGAGTGCAGTGGCACAATCTCAGCTCACTGCAACCTCTGCGTCCCGGGTTCAGGTGATTCTCTTTCCTCAGCCTTCTGAGTAGCTGAGACTACAGGTGCACTCCACCACGCCCAGCTAATTTTTGTATTTTTAGTAGAGACAGGGTTTCACCATGTTGACCAGGATGGTCTTGATCTCTTGACCTTGTGATCTGCCCACCTCAGCCTCTCAAAGGGCTGGGATTATAGGCATGAGCCACCTCGCCTAACTGGAATCCTAAAATTTTAACTGCCTTTTATTTGATTGCCAGTTTATTCTGAACATTTTTGCCTTGGAATTCATCCTTAGACAGTACCTGCTATCCACCTTTTGCATAAGGCCCTTAAACATGTTGTCTCTCACCACAAATTTATCTCCACAGAAGATCCTTTTAAAACCCTATTCTCTGTGAAGAGGTACCAGGAAGGTTAAATACAGGAGAATCGCAAATTTACATGATCTTGAGAATGATTCATAAACTTTGGCTGGATCGGGCATGGGAATTTTCTACAGGATACGTGAGAAACATAAAGAGAAGTTGATCAAGGGTGTAATTTAGCTGGGGAGAATTTGTCAATCAAGAAACAGCAAACTACTGTTGGTTTTTATAGGGGAAGGGAAGAGTTTGTATATTTTTCATTGTCATGTCTTACAAATGATGTTGGATTCCTTTCTTGTGTTTTCAGCTACAAAAGACCCCACAGCTGTAGAGAGAGCAAACTTGTTAAACATGGCTAAACTGAGTATCAAAGGACTCATTGAATCTGCTCTGAGCTTTGGCCGCACTTTGGATTCTGACTATCCCCCCTTGCAGCAATTCTTTGTTGTTATGGAACATTGTCTGAAGCATGGTCTTAAAGGTATCATGAAATTTTAAAAAATTAATTCATTTTAGAGTCTCCCTTTTTCCATTTTAAGCCCTTCAGAATGGGTTATTTTTTGAGGCCATAATTAGTATTACTATGCACCAAAAAGTATTGAGTGGATTGATTTTGGGAGACAATATCTCACGACTTTATGGTTTCTCATAATGGTCTTCAGAAAATGCTTAGTTGTTAAATGTTTTATATACAGAATATTTGATTTAAAAATTTTTTAAACTTACATAGCCTGAACTGGTTTCTGTTTTCTAGGACAATTAGAGTTATTTTATATTTTAAAACTGATGATTCTGAAATGAGCTCATATTAATAGTTTGAAAGCTATTGAACAAGTGTATTGAAATAGTAGATTGTTGAAATAGAAACCTCCTAGATATATACATGAACATATGTAGAAATATCTTCTGGATGGAGTTATTGTAGAAATGCGAGCCATCCCTGAAAATGATAATAGCAGATATTGTATTCTACTGTCAGTACATATTGAATTATTGTTACATGTAAAATGTTTGTTTTTTATTTAAAAAATATTCATTGCATAATGACTTTTACTTATAATAATCGTTCAGTTTTGGTCTCTAGTTCATATGATGAGTACCTGTGTAGAGGGCTATGTAAGCGTTGTACACTAGAGTGACTATTATAGAGTAAAAGAAGCTTGACTAGCCAGGTGTGGTGGCCACACCTGCAATCCCAGCATCTGCCTGTGGTCCCAGCTCCTCAGGAGGCTAAGGTGGGAGAATCACCTGAGTCCGAGGAGGTCGAAGTTTCAGTGAGCCATGATTACACCACTGTACTACTCCAGCCTGGGTGACAGAAAGAGACCCTATCTCACACACACACACACACACACACACAAAAACAAAGATTTACCTAAACTTGGTTTTAATAAAAAAAGAAGAAAGTCTTTACATCAAAATTTGAGAAATCCTATGTGATGTTATTAACATACTTATTTCTTTTTCTTTAATTAAAGACTTAAAGCAATTTCTTAAAATATATAAATATTAGAGAAGTATATTCTTTTTTTTTCTTTTTTTTTTGAGAAGTATATTCTTTTTGTACATGAATTAACAGAGAAGTACACAGAGCAAAACATCATTTTATGGATTCTCTTCTCTTAATCTCTCTAAACGAAATTGGATGCCTGTCATCCCAGCACTTTGGGAGGTTGAGGCAGGTGGATCATTTTGAGGTCAGGGGTTCAAAACCAACCTGGCCAACATGGTGAAACCTGTCTCTACTAAAAATACTAAAATTAGCCAGACGTGCTGGTGTTTGCCTGTAATCCCAGCTACTTGGGAGGCTGAGGTAGGAGAATTGCTTGAACCTGGGAAGCAGAGGTTGCAGTGAGCTGAGATCAGGTCATTGCACTCCAGCCTGGGGCAACAGAGCAAGACTCCATCTCAAAAAAAAAAGAAGGGGATAATCAGATATTCTTTTATCCCTTTTCTGTTTTTGTTTTCTTTTACTCTAATTGTAATCATGCTATTAGTAGTATTCTGTGACGTCCTTCTTTAAAAAAAAAAAAGTGGCCTAGCTCGATGGCTCACACCTGTAATCCCAGCACTTTGGGAAGCTGGGGCTAGAGGATCACTTGAGGTCAGGAGTTCCAGATCAGCCTGACCAGCATAGTGAAACCCCATCTCTACTAAAAATACAAAAATTAGCCAGTGGTTGTACACACCTGTAGTCCCAGCTACTTGGGAGACTGAGGCAGGAGAACTGTTTGAACTCAGGAGGCAGAGGTTGCGGTGAGCTGAGATCGTGCCACTACACTTCAGTCTGGGAGGCAGAGTGAGACACTGTCTCAAAAAAAAATTTTTTTTTGTTTTTAAAGTAATAATATGGGCCGGGTGCTGTGGCTCACGCCTGTAATCCCCAGCACTTTGGGAGGCCAAGGTGGGTGGATCACAAGGTCAGGAGTTCAAGACCAACCTGACCAACACGATGAAACCTCGTCTCTACTAAAAATATAAAAATTAGCAGAGTGTGGTGGCACACACCTGTAATCCCAGGTACTTGGGAGGCTGAGGCAGGAGAATCGCTTGAACCTGGGAGGCAGAGGTTGCGGTGAGCCAAGATTGTGCCACTGCGCTCCAGCCCAAGTGACAGAGCAGGACTCTGTCTCAAAAAAAAAAAAAAAAAAAGGTAATGATATGGCTTGGAGATCTTTCCATTTACATAGACATCTGTATCAGGATTAATGGCTGTGCAATGTTTTATGGTATACATATAGCGTAATTTATTTAACCACATTCCTCTTTTTTTTGAGATGGGGTGTCACTCTGTCACCCAGGAATGCATCTTGATTTTCCCCAAGCCTTATGAAATGGAGTTTCCCAAATGATGGCCAAAATAGTTAAATTTTAAACTCTTTTTAGACTGTATTATCCTTTACTTCACAACATATGTTGAACCATGTCCTAGCAGTTATAGGCTTATCTGGATGAATCATTATAAAACTACTTTGTGCATGTTGTTTTCTCCCCTAGGAAAAATTGCCTATCTTGGGGTGGTGCATATGGTAGGCACCCTGTATTTGCAGGAGATCTGATCAGTAATAACAAAGAAATGTCTGACAGTTTCATGGTTTTATATTGACCAAATCTCAGAACAAAATAAAAGGAAAAGCAAATTC